GAGGCAGAACCCACCTGCTATCATGGAAGCTGAAAAAGCCACCTACTCACTTGTCAGCCTCCTTTGCAACTAGGACCTGGACAAGATTAGAGTCCAACAATTGGATTGACTTATCCTGGACTTATAATCCGGAGTTAATGCTTAAAGAAGCAGGAGCTACATGGAATCCATTCTGGTGATGGGCTAGTGCAGCCTCAGTAGCTACATCTTGTTTCTAGAGGCAGTGGAAGGGTCAGTTGGGTGGGAACTGCAAACGGTGGCATCCAGTTCCCAGTGGTGTCATGAGCAGTGTCTCCTCTGGGGAAATTCTGAGGTGGTATTCTGGGCATCATTTCTGGCTCTGTTGTCTCTGTATCTGGTTTTTCAGCTCTCTCAGAATCTGTGTTATTTAACACTTGTTTAACAAATTCCTTTCTACTTAAATCTGCCAGAGTTTATTTCTATTGCTTACAGCTAAGACACATTGGGGGTTTTAGTCCTGGCTCTGCCATTGATTTGGTTTGTCCTTCAGGTAAATCATGCACACCCTCTTGGCCTCACTTTTATCCTCTGTTAATAGCAGCACTGCCAAATTGTTGATTCTACCTGACTTACATAAAAGATAGAGAGGATTGTGAGTGTTAGGACAGCAGTCATTTGCTACTATGAGGAAGCAGCTACATGCTGATCACCTTCAGAGTTCACCACTGTCTTGTCATTTTGTGTCATGGTTTCTAGAAAGCTCTAGGTTTTTTTGCCTGCATTGTAGTAGCTTTATCCTGCATAGGTCTTCTGGTACAATTTCTACTGGGTACGTATTGACCTGGTTTACAGTGTTTATTATAGCTATACCATTTGTTCTAATGTAGTGACTTGATTGGTGCTTTACCCTGCATCCATTTCACCCCTAACCTAACATGCATCAGCCATGTAGCCTTGTGGGGCTGACCCAACCCTTACATCTAAGAATGGGCCCAGATTTGGCTTAAGCCAGGGAACACAACCCTATATCCCAGAACACAATGATTGGTTCTAAAGTGGATACGTATCCAAGTTAGAGTGAAGCTCAGGACTTTTGTTTGGTGATTGTTACTGCTGCGATTAGGGGAGCCAAGCTTAGGATAGAGTGAGTCTATGGAAGGCAGAGTGGAGAGATAGAAAGAAGCTGGATGTTGCCTTGGTGACATCATTGAGCAGCTGAACTAATTCAGCATTCATCTGAAATCCACCCTACTTCTGAATTTGTTTTCAGTTATATGAGCCAATAAATTTCCTTTATTAAGGCAAGTTGAGTTGGATTTCCTATTGCTTGTAACCAAAATCATCCTAACAAAGGGATCTATGAAATCTCAAGACATTTGGAAAAAGAGGTGAGGTTAATTAATGAATAAATATTTGGGAAGTTTACAGACACCTTAAACTAACATAGGCTCTCCACCAAAGTCTACCTCTTTTCCTATGTTCCCTCATCTTAAAAATGGCTGCATAGTTCAGCCAGTTGTCCAAGCTAGAAATAAACATGGAAGTCATGCTAGACTCCTTTTTCTATCTCACCTGCAATTAAACCAGTTGTCATAATTTCTCCCTTCTACATCTTTATTATCTCTGCAGTCTGCCCTCATCTCTCTAACTCATTGTCACCACCCTAGTCCAGTGTTTCTGTGTGCCTCAGAAACTATATCCCAGTGTCTGTATATTCCAGTGTTTGCGTGTCCCAGTATCTGTTAAGTGTTTGCTACTAGTATCTGTGTTTTTCAGTGTCTGTATGTCCCAGTTTCTGAGGACCCAAGTGTTTGTGTGTTCCATTATCTGTGTACAACATTTGTATGTGTCAGTATCTGTGTGTCCCAGTGTTTGTATGTCCCAGTGGTTATTTGTATTAGTGTCTGTGCACCTTGTTTCCCAGTGCCCGAGTGTCTCAGTGACTGTATCCCCCGGCATCTCTGTACCTCCAAGTGTCTATGTTTTTCAGGGGCTTTGTTCCCGTGTCTATATACCCAAGTGTCTGTGTTTCTCAATGTTTATGTATCCCAGTGTATTTGAACCTCACTATCTGTAAGTCCCAATTTCTAACTCTACCCTCACTGTTCACCAGTTGAAATGACTGTGAGTCACAGTGTCTGTATATTTCCTAGTATCTGTAATGTAGGTCACAGCCTCTCTGTATTCTAATGCCTGGGTATCCTATTACCTGTTTATGTCCTAATGACTGTGTGTTCTAGTGTCTGTGTGTGTCTTGGTGTCTGTATACATCCCAATATCTGTGTTCCTCAGTTTCTATATGTCCTAGCATTTGTGTACCCCAGTGACCATTTGCATGTTGCAAGTGTCTCTTAGTTTCAGTGTTTCTGTGGACCTCAGTATCTGTAGCCCCGTGTCTGTATATTTCATTGTTTGCTTGTTCCACTGCTTGTGAGTCAAAGTGTGCCTCAGTGACTGTATGCTATTGTCTATGTTTCCCGGTGTTGGCATATTACTGTATGTTTTTGAGTTTCGTTTTTGTGTGCTTCAGTCTCTGTACCCCAGTCTCCTTGTGTCCCAGTGGTGTGTAAACCAGTGTGTGTATGTGTGTGTGTGTCATAGGTTCTATCTGTCTCTCTGTGTATCCCAGTGTCTGTATGTACCAGTACCTGTGTAGCAATATCTGGTTCCATCATCTCTGTGCACGAGCATCCCTCTGTGTTCTGATGTCTGTTCTAGTGTCCATGTGTGTTAAGTGTTTGCATGTGTCAATGTCTCTGTGGATGTTAGTGGTTGCCTGTTTCTGAATGGCTGTGTGTACCAAGTTTTGGGTTGTGTTCCAGTGCCTGCATATTTCAGTTTCCCAAGGTTTCCGTGTCCCAATGTCTGTGCTCTGGTGTCTGCAGTTTCCGTTGTTTATTGTGATCCAGTATCTGCATGTCCTTGGTCCCCCCATAAGTCTGTGAGTTTCTGTGTCCCATTCTTTAAGCATCCCTGTGCTGTGCATCCTATTAATCTATGTGACTCAGTGTCTATATATCCCTGTCTCTGGGTGTCCCTGAGTCTCTGTTTGTATTACCCCGCTTCTATGTCCTTATCTCAGTGTGGCCCTGATCTCTGTGTTTTAGTGCCTGTGCATCTTGTCCTTGAATGTACTTGAGTGTTTGCACATCCTGAACCTCTGCAATCTAGTGTCTTTGTCTCCGTGTCTCAGTGTGCCCATGGATCTCTGTGTCTCAGTGTCTGGGCATCCAATGAGCCTTTGTGTTCAAGTGTTTGTGCATCCCTTTTTGTGCATCGCTGAGTTTTTGATACTTTAAATGTCCTTGAATTTTTGCATGTTTCTGAGTATTTATGTGGCCTTGAGTCATTGTACATTCCTCAATTGGCACATCCCTGAATCTTTACATGTCCCTGTGTATTTGCATGTGATCCAACATCTGTGCATCTGTGTCTGGGTGCCCATGAGCCTCTGTGTTCCAGTGTCTGCGTGTTCTTATGTCTGTATTTCCCCAAGTCTTTGCATATCCCTGAACCTCAGTGATCCAGTTTAAGTGTATCCCGGAGTCTCTGTATTCCTGTGTTTGGGCATCTTTCTCGGAGCCTCTGTATTCCAGCATCTGTGTTCATGAATCTGCATATGCCCTTTGTTGGTGAGTCCCTGACATCTCTGTGACTCAGTACATTTCTGGGACTTTGCTCTTCTCCATGTCTGTGATTTGGTATTTATCCCACTTCTCCATTTAGTTTCCCTAGCTTTTGAAAGTGTCTTTGTATTATTATTTCTTTATGTTGTGTCTTAAGTTGTCTTGTTCTCTGTGTTCTGGTTTCTATGGGTCTGTTGGTCAGTGTGTCTCTCTGCATCTGTTTCTTTTTTTGTCTTGCTCTGTCCCTGGTTTTGTTTTGAACTGACTCACCATCTCTCTGTCCCCATCCCTCTGTTTGTGTCTGGTGTTTGGATCCACGTCTTCTTATTTTCAAGCCACTGTCTCTGCGTCCCTGGGTCTGATTCACTGTCCCCATCCCTTCATTTTCATTTGTGGCCTTGGTTGTCTGTTTGCATGTCTATTTCTGGGTGTGCCCAGGTATATCTTGATTCTGTGTCTTTTTGCATCCCTGTCTCTCTGGATAGATATTCTTGTCACTGTGTCTCTGCCCATTTGCTTATGTTCTGTGTGTCTGTTTCTATGTGTCTAGGTTTCTTTGTTCCTGTCTTGATCTTACCAGATGTGTCCCTGTGTTTCTGTTCTTATGTCTAGTTTGTATCCATATGACTGTATTTGTGGATACACATCCCCATTTGTACTTGTTCTAGGACCTTTGTCTCTAAATTCCTGTCCTTGTCACTGTGTCACAATGTCCCATTACCTGGAATTCACTTGCCTGCCCTTATATCTCTGTTACCTGGTCTGATCCTTATCTCTTTGCTGGTTTTTGTCACTGTTCATGTGTGTGCATCCCCATGTCTTTGTCACTGAATTTCTGAATATATAAGTTTGCACTCCTGTCTCACTCTTAGTGTGTTCCTCTGCATGTGACTGTGTCCTTGGGTCTTTGTCACCACATATAGGTCTGTGTAATGTCCGTTTCTACATACTTATAGGTCTCTGGCCCCATGTCTCTGTGTTCTCCTCTCATCTACACCCCATATATGTAAGTCAGCATGACAGCGTGTCTCCGTGTTTCTACTTCTCTATCCTCGGTGTCTTGGACTATGGTCTTGACCAATGTCTCCCTGGTTACCTCTGTGTCCTTGTGTCTTTGTGTCACTGTGTCTTGATCCCTCTGCTCCTGTGTCTGGATCTCTGTGCATATCTATTTCTTAGTTTGTATGTTGTTATGTTTTAATTTCTTCACAATAGTTATTGTGTGCTTATCCCTGGTGATCTTGTTTTTGTCTCTCTGCCTCTTTATCTGTGATAGGGACAGTATCTCAAAATGTACCTCAAAATGAGGATACTTAGGTATAGCAAGAGAACTCTGGGTTTATGTCCCTGATGCTGTCACTCTGGCTCCTTGTCCTCCTCTTTGTATGCCTCTATTTCCCTATGTTTATTGTCTTGGTTTTGAGATCCTTAAGCCTTGTGTTTCTGAATGTCTCTATCACACTGTTTCCCCATTCACATCTGTGTCCTTGTTGTGATCCTGTGTCTTTGGTTGTGAGTATGTATATGTGTGTGTTTACTGCTGTATCATTGGTTCTCTTTTTGTTCATTCATTCATTTAGCAAATATTTACTAAGCACCTATTATGTGCCAGGCACTGAGGATACATAGATGATTCAGAAAAGGTCCTTGCCCTCAAAGAGCTCACAGTCTAAGTCAGGGATCCAGACAAGTAAACAGATAATTACTCATAGTATGATAAATGTTGTGAGCTTGGATGGGACGGGGTGAGCTATGAGAACACAGACGAGGACTGAATTCTACCTAGGAGTGGGGTCAGGGAAGGCCTTCTAGAGAAGATGACAACCAAGAGTTGAAGGATGTGTAAAATCCACCTACATAAAGCCAAGGAACAGGATCTCATGCAGAAGGAAAAACACAGGCAAAGGCCCAGTGATGGGAGAGAGCATGATTTGTTAGGGGAACTCCAAGAGCCTTAAATACTCCATGGGAGCCAGAGAAGATTGTGAGTAGGGCCAGTGACTCAGTCAGATTTAAGAAAGTCACCTCTAAAGTTGGTATGAAGCATGGATTGAAGAGAGTGGATACTGGAGACAAGAGGAACTGTGAGGAGGCAGGAATCCCTAAGTCTCTATGTCCATATGTATGCATGTCTGTGTGTGTTTGTATGTCTTTGTATATGTGTCTTTTAATGCATGTGTGAGAGCGTTTCTCTGTGTGTATTTTCATGTTCCTAGGTCTTTGTTCCTGGCTCACTCCATACCCTGGCCTCTGGATCTCCTAACTCAGGTTTCCTGGCATTGGGGTTCAGGGGTGATCACAGGACATAGGCAAGGTAGGGGTGTCCCAGCAGCTGTTGTACATGAGAGCGGTTCACCAGCCAACAGGAGGACCAGCGGGGCAGCAGCCTTGGTGAGTCCTTTAGTAGCTTCTTGCCTAGAACCACAGGCACATCTGGGCCTTGCTGCCTCCGCAGGCGTGGCCCTGTAGTCCCTGCTACCAGTTGGATGTCTGCATGCTGGAACTGCCCTGAGGGAGAAAGATGCAGCACCAGTCAAGGTAGTGGCTTGAGTCCCCACTGAAAACTCTGAGAAGATCTTAAAGCAGGAAATCTAGAAGGAAAAGAGGGAGGGGTGAGGTGCAGCAGTGGTCTGGAGGAAAGAAGAGGCTGGGCATTGTGGGAAATGTGGAGGAGCCAAATGGGACAAGAGTGTATCATGGAAGGAGTGTATCAAGGTTGATGAGATGGCTGCAGAAGGGGAGCAGTCAGACTTGGAGGCAATGACAGGGCAGATTGGAAGGAAGGACAGGAGACAAGTGGGGAGGCCCAGAGGAAGTAAGACTATCTGTCCAACCCACCATCACTGCGCAAACTCTTCGGTGTGGGCCTCTGCTCAGGCTCTGCCAATGTATCCTGACATATAGCCTGACTTTCTGCAGTCCCCCTTCACAGAAGTCTCCAAAAGATCTTTGTTATACTCATATCTGACTGTATCTTTCCCCTGCTTATAACTGTTCATGGCTCTCCACTGTCTTCAGGATAAATCCAAAGTCCTTGTCTGGGCATTCTGTTCCAACCACTCCAGCTCCAGCTCCTCTAACCTCCACGCCTTTCTTCTACCACTTTTGGCCAGCCTTTCAGATTGTGGGTCTCTCTTCTCCAGGAGATTTTTCTTGAGCTGAGTGAGGTGCCCCACCCTGGGTTCCACCAGTGCCTTGGGCCACTTTATATCTAGTACTGATAGCTCCTGAGATCATTATTGATGTCTGGGTCTATATTCTCCCCAGGCCAGGAGCTCCCCAAGGCAGACCTTGGCTCTGTTCCTTTTTGTGGTTGGGGGGTCTGGGTGCTGGGTACTCACTGGCCTTTCACCCTGGTAGAGTATCTCTTGGGACTGGTGTTCCCCGGACCCTCTCAGCCTCAGTAGCACTTACCCAGCAGGCCAGTGGCCAAGGGGCTAAGGCCCGAGCCATTGACCACATAGAAGCCCAGATGTGGTAGTTGTAGGGTGCTGGGGTGCTTATAGCGGTGCCGGAGGATTAGGAATTCGAGATGGGGTCCAAGGCGGAGAGTGAGGCGGGCTGCAGCAGCCACATGGAGCTCCAGCTGGGACCTCTTCAGCAGGGCAGGCTGGTCCCAGGACAGAAGCAAGGTACCTTCGCCTCGCACAGATATGGAACTGCGAGTGATGTTAATAGTGTAGGCCTGGGGTTTGTCTGTGGTGACTGTGATGATCTGAAAGTAGGTGCGGATCTGGTTCTTGTGGCCTGGCCTCGGTGGTGCCCCAAGCAACTGTCCATGCACATGCAGCCCTGGAGGGAGAAGAGTCAGTGCGTGGAGCATGGTCTTTCAAATAGTCATTTATTTGGTCACCCACAACACAGAGAGAGATGAGGTCTCAGGGCCCAGGGTGCAGATTTGTGGTTAGAGAGCTAGTTCCTGGGGAAAATGCTTCTACCACAACCCATCCAGCTGTTCTTTCCTGGGCAATGTGTGGGCATAAATGTAGGTTGCACATGCTCACCCCAGTGGGGCTGTTTGCATGCATGTGTTTGCATCTGAGTGTGTAAATTTGTGTGTTTGGTTATGTTTACATGGGTATCTCTGGGCCTATCAGTGCATCTGCATATTTGGGGAAGGTGCTATGTTAAAGTGTATATTTTTTGGTTGTATGTTTATGTGTGTCTCTGGATATGTTGGTGTTATATGTCTTGGTGAATAGTTTATGTTGTGTGTGTCTGGTTGTGTTTTGGTAGATACTGATGTGTATCTGGGTGTGTCGTGGTAAGTATTTGAGTGCATTGGTGTGTTTCATATGTCTAGAGTAGCAGAGTATGTGTGCTTGTATGTGTTGAATTCCTGAGTATTGGGATGAATCTGGGGTATCAGTGTATGTATGTCTGAGTGTGTTGATATTTGTGTCATTGTGTATATCTGGGTATGTATTGTATGTCAATTTGGACCTGGGTACATATTTGTATGTTACTGTGGGGTATGGAGGGTGTCAAAATATGTGTGTCTGAGTGTGTGTTCATGTGAGTTTACTATGTGCCCTGGTATGTGTATATATCTGTGAGTATCTTGGTGTTAGAGTATATTCATGTGTGTTTTCATGTGTCTGGGTGTTTACTTGTGATTAGTGAGTTGCACTGCTGTGTGTTTGTGAGGATTAGTCTACAAATGTCTGGGGGTATTGACATAAGTATATCTGGCTGTGGTGTTATGTGGAGTGGAGTCCTTGGGGCTCTCACCTGCCTTTTGGTCGTCTATGAGCTGTAGCAGGTCCCCTGGGCGCCCATCCAGTGTGAAGCAGATTCTCTCTTCTGAGTGTGGGATGTGGATCACAAAGTGAGGGTCACCATCCACTGCAAGGCAGGAGATGAAATTCTGAAGTTATGGCCCTAAAAGTAATGGGAGAAGAGGAGAGGGCAAGGGAGAGGAGAGGAATGTAGGAGGCCATGTCCATTTCCCGAGAGAGAGAGCCCAGCCCTGTTTTGGTGCACAAGCTGTCCTATACTCAAACAGCATAGTGATGGTGGCTGGCTTACCTGAGGATGAGAAGGTGAAGATGCTTGGTAACATGCCTGCAAAAGAGAGGGAGACTGTGTTGATAAGGGACTGATCTATCACATTCCCAGGAGCTTTGGGACACCCTGGCCTCTCAGTCACCTCCTCTCAAATATGGGCTAAATTCCTGAGCTCAGCACTGAAATCTTTTCTGGAATCTAGCCCCTGCCTAGCTTTCCAGTCTTCTGTTTATGCTCCAGCTTAACTGAACTAGTCTTACGTATACCCTGCCTTCTGCTAGTGACCCATAGCTTCTGTTTTCCTGCCACCTGGAATGTTTTCTTTTCCTTAGCTACCAAGGGTCAATTTCTAGTTATCTTTCCTGGCCAACTCAAATGCTTTTTCTCCTATTTTCTGCCTGTGGTAGGTAGAAATTCTAAGATTTTACACACCCTGTAAAATCTCCAGGACTGTGATATGATGAGATATTACTCCCATAACTAAGTTATGGTATGTGGTGCAGTTGACCTTAAAACAGGGAGATTATCCAGGTGGACCTGACCTGATAATATGAGCCCTTTAAATCTGGGTCAGAGAAGTTAGAGAGATTTGAAGTGTGAGAAGGATTTTACATGAAAGAGATTCTTCATAGCTGTCTTTAAAGATGGAGAAGGCCATGTGTCAAGGAATGTAGAGGACCTCTAGGACCTGAAAGTGGCCCAGGTGGCCTCTAGAAGCTGAGAGTGACTTCCAGCCAATAGCCAGCAAGCAGATAAGGATCCTATGCACAGAAGGAACTGAATTTTGCGGGCAACCTGAATGCACATGGAAGAGGATGAGAACTTAATCTGACAGACTCCTTTATTTCAATCTTCTGAGACCCTAAGCAGAGAATCCAACTAACTTGTGCCCAGACTTCTAACACATAGAACTGGGAGATAATTAAAGGGTGTTGCTTGAAGCTACTAAGTTTGTGGTAATTTGTTATGCAGCAATGGCAAACTAATACATTGCCTCTCCTCTGGACTCACACATTACCTATGAGAATTCTAATGGAATGGAAATGAAAGCTTAGGGATCTTTGTCAGCGGAGCTCCTTGTTCACCTTTTGCTAGCCCCGCAGACCTTCCCTGAGATTCCATGCTGCCTCCAGCTGCTTCCAGGATCTCTTCAGAATTGCCTTCCCAATGTGGATTTCCTGCCAAGAGCAAAAGAAATAAAAGGAATCATTCACACTCTCAGGGCAAAGATGCCCTGGACCTACCAGAGGGGACACTTTTTTTCTGACCAGGAGTGTCCTCATTGGCTTCCAATTTGACTGGCATATTGCCAAGACTGGAACCTTATGCTCTCCACAGCATAGTAGTCTTTCAAGCTCAGTTATGTTTAAAATTCTTCCTCATAGCACTTAATTCATTCAGGGACTGTTTAGGTATCAAGGATATAGTGGTGAGAGAGGTAGTCATGATTTTTGACCTAATGAAGTTCATATTTTAGTCAGGGAGGCAGACATGAATGAAATAATTACCAATGGTGATAAATGCTATAAGAAAAAATAATAGAGTGATTGAGGGAGTTAACAGATACTTGATATAATCTGGGGTAGTGGGATGAATGGAAAAGGCATCTGAGCTGAGATCTAAGTCAGAGCTGGAGTGTGAGTGACAACAGAAAAGATGAGGGTGGTAGGAAGGGGACAGGGCAAGGTGGTCAGAGAGATTGCCAAGCTGGGGGAACAGCTTCAAAAGAGGTACCTGAGTAGAGGTGGGAGTGGGAGCAGGGCCCATTGGAGGAACAGAGAGCAGGCCAGTGGGGCTAGAGTTCACAAAATGAGTGGGAGAAGGTGAGGTCAGAGAGGTATGGGGTAGAGAGAAGGTCATGAAGGGCCTTGTAGGCCATAAATAAGACTTTGGACTTCATTCTAGGTGTGAAGGTAAAAACCTTAGGGGGTTAAGCAGGGAAGGGAAATAAAGTAACATCTGTTTTTAAAAGATCTGATTGGCTGGAGTGGAAGAATGCTCAAGTGGTTCTCTAAAGAGAGCAGGGAGACCAGTGAGGAGGTTGGAACAGTGAAACACAATGGTATTCTGTCCTACAATAGTGATAGTTGGGGTGGTGAGAAGTGGATGCACTGGCAAATATATTAGAAGTAACATTATCAGGAACTGAAGATGGATGGGCTATTGGCAGGGGGGAGTGAGGGAGAGCAGCATGTCAAAGATGTCATGCCCAAATTTGTATCTCTGTGACTTCCTGCACACCCAACTGATTCTAATCCTGCCCTATAAGGTCACCCAGGAAGTATGACTCCTCTCAGGAAAGCAGAATAATGGAGTGATGAAGCATATTCAGTCTGGGACCAGATGATCTAAGCCCAAATCTCCTACTAGCCATGTGACATGGAGCCAGTTACAGCGCTTCTCTGCTTCAGTTTCCACATGTGTAAAATGAAGATACTAGTAATTTCCTGTGAGGGTTAAGTGCGGGGCTAAAGTACAGCAGCACCTGCACGTAGGAAGAGCTCAAAAATGTTGTGTTATTATTTCACAGTCTCTGGGAAATTGAAAGATAACTGTCGTTATCTTCCCTAATTTTTATACCCCTTTTATTAAACAGTGTTGTTCACAGACCACAAAAGAACCAATCAGACATGCCTTGCACAGTGATGTTCCCATTTATAACTCCACATCCCTCTCCTGTTTGGAAAGCACTAGCAGTTCCCTTTTCCAACAAAGCAAAAGTTAAAGCCACAGCTGGGCCAGGTGTTTCTGTTCAGCCTCTTCAGTCTTAAGAGCCCTTCTCTCCCAGGGCCTCTGATTCTGTGCCTGTGTACTGAGGCCCAGAGAAGTTAAGTATCTGGTTCAAAGTTTCAAAGTAAGCAAGCAAGTAAGCAAGCAATGAAGCAGCTGTACTATCATTGGAATCTGCACAAGTGTCGCATACTCCCAGTTCCTGCTACTCTCCATTCATACCTCCCTCTCACGTCTTGTCCTCTTGCTCATGGTACTCACCATTTTCATCAGGAGTGAGGAAGGTATAGAAAGCCGGTGGGTTCAAGGACTCCACAAACTTGGACTCCACCATTGATTCAGACAGCAGCTCTAGCTCCTCAGGGACAATGAGCAGGCTGACTGCCTCGGGGAGGGTGCTAGAAGGCAGCAAGACTGGCAGGTTTGGGGGGCTGCCTTCTGGCATAGGCCTGGAGCTGTTGGGTAGACCTATTGTTGAGACTCCTGACACAGACTGTCCCAGAATTTCCTTTGTGCTTTGGGGCACTGACAGCAGGTCATGCCGATGCCAGAGCCTTCCAGGGGGCAGCAGAGAGGGCAGGGTGGGAAGAAAGGGGGTAGGGAGGGGTTCTCCAAGGACAGAGGCAGTCATGTTACTATTGGGACTTGTGGGATTTGAGATTGTGCTTGGGACTGTGCTTAGGCTCCGAGGAGGTGGGGGCCTGGGTCTGGCAGGCCTGAAGGGTAATGGCGTTTTGGGTTTATTGGGGACTGGTATGCTAGCTTTAGAAAATGATAAGCTTGGGGAAGTTTGATGAGGTGAGACACTAGGTTTAAGAGGTGATGGGACTTTATGGGTCTTGGGTAAGAGGATTCCAGGTCTAGGGTGCGACAGGCTGTTTGGGATCTTGGGAACAGGAACCCTTGGTCTGGTGTGTGGTGGGTATTTGGGGATCTGAAGTGTGGCGACTCCAGGCTTGGGCTGTGGCAGATTTTTAGGTGACTGTGATGTGAGTACCCCAGGCTGGGGATGTGACGTGGCATTCAGTTTAGGTTGTGATGGAGTGCCAGGTTTGGAATGCAGTGGAGTGACATGTTTCATAGTGCCAACTTTGGACTGGAGTAGGGAGCCAGAATTCAAAGGTGGGACTTGTGTCTCGGAAATTATAGGTAATAGGGTCCCAGGATTTTGGTGAGATGGGGTGCTGGGCTTCAGAAGCAATAAGGCACCAGAATTTGAAGGCACAAGGGCAGCAGGTTTTGTCCTGAGAGTTGGCTTAGCCATGGTGCCAGAATCGTGTTTTCCTGGAATTTTGGTCCTTGGGTGTGCTGGGGTGGATAGGGTACTAGGGCTCTGACCCAGTGGCTCTAATTCCCTGGAACTGGTCATCTTCTTTGTAGAGGCAGGAGTAGTAGAGGATAAGTAGAACTTTGGGTTTGCGAGCCTTGATTTGGGAGAGACCTTGGGCACCAAGGCAGGCCGGGCTGTGCCTGCCCCTAGGCCATGCCTGCTGGTGGATGAAGGCATGATGGTACTTGGTCCAGCTGTGGTGGAAGTCTGTCTCCTGGCTTTCTCACTGGCTTCCTTGGGCTGCACCATGACCAGTGAAGTCAGAGGTGTGACAAAGTTGTATTCAAGGGACAGATTGAGGACTTTGGCAGCCAACAGGTGTCGAGTGGTGGTGTCACGGGCTAAGAAGCGTGCCTCCAGGAGTTCTCTAATGGTGACATAGGCCCAGAGGCGTCGGATGAAGTGGGCTACATTGGGGGCTGGTTCACCTGGACAACCAAAGGCCTTCTGGCTATTGTTGGTGGCCACCTCACTATGGCGGGCCACGAGAAGCTGGCCTTTGGGGCCACGGGCTGCCAGGTGGATGCCCAGTTCTTGCTCACCTGGCTGCACCAGGCCTGCTACCACCAGCTCTGAGCCACCAAAGTAGTTGGGGAAAAGGGCCCAAGGGGAGGCCCCAACCAAGCCGCCCAGGTAGTCGAGACGCACATCTGCCAGCAGAGGCATGGAGATCTCCTCATAGAGGCCCTGTAGCTGTAGAGCTGCATCAGTGTCTTCGTATATGCGCCGGGCTGCTCCTCGATTCTCCAGGGACAGGCGACGTAGCAGTGGAAAGTCAGCATCATCCCCAAAGGCCAAGCTGAAAAGGGACACCCTGTTGTCCAGTGCCTGACGGACATTGGAGAGGATCACACTGGGAGTCGTCACGCCGGCTGTGGGCTCCCCATCTGTCAGGAAGATGATGAGAGGGATCCTCCCCACACTGGAGCCCCTCCCAGGCTCCTGGTTGCTCTGGTTCAGCACTGAAGCAGCTGCCAGCAGAGCTGTGTTGATGTCGGTCCCTAATTGGGGAGCAGACTGTGAGACCATTTTTTTCTAATTACTTCTACCCCCATTTCAGACACACTGGACACCTCACCAACCTCCCAGTCTCAGTCATATCACCTGATCTTTGCTCACATTTTTTATGCTGTTTATCCTTCCCAAGTCCCCAATCCCACACAGGCTCCCTGAGATCTGTCATTGGGACCCACATGTCCTTAGTTTTTCTCACTCTCTAACTCAGACTGTGCTTTGCCTGTTTCTAGGAGGGAATGTCTCCTTCTCTAGTCAGATTGGCAGCTTCTCAAGGATAGCACCCCACACCTCCATGCTACAGGGAAAGAAAGGGCTGAGTTGAGAGGAAGTGATGGTGGTGGGGAGACATTAGTAATTGTCTGAGAAACAATTAATCAAAAGCTAGAATCAGGGCAGCAACTTGCTCAAATGCTTGAAAATAAATATCTAGATTATTGATTTTTTTAAAAAGTCTTAGCAAATTCTTTTACGTGCTTTAAAGAGGAGGAAACTCAGGTCCAAAGGGGGAATGCACCCTAAAATACATGAAGAATCAGCTGTGCTTTTTCCACTAGGAAAAGGAACACAGAGGCACATATTTGTGTAAAATGTAACAGAGATATTCCAGGCATTGTGAGAGGTGAGGTGGATGAGAGAATGAAGAAAGCATTTTAAAAATTTCCCACATCACCACAGCCTGCCCATTTGGGTGGGTAGGTCTAATACTTACAACCATCAGCTTCCAAGTGACCCAGGTAGTCCTTGGCATTGTGTACATTCTGGATGGTGGCCTGGATGGAGCCTCCAGCTTTCCAGACACTAACCGTGTCAGAAAAGGAGATGATGTTGAAGTAGTCGTTGGCCCGCAGGTCACCAAGAATCACATTCATGGCCTTTTTAGTCTGTAGGATATGGATAAAGTGAAAAAGAGATGGACTAAGACGAGGTCTTGCTCAAGACTGAAAGGCTCTTTCTATACAAGGTACTAAGGTCTAAGACTCTCTGATTCCAACACTCTGTAAGTGTGGGATTCTCAGGTCAAGATGCTCTATAGGCTCTATGGCCCAAAGCCCAGAACACCACTGTCCAATGGTAGCGTCTAACCACATGGAGCTTTTTAAAATGTAAACGTAAGTTATTTAAAAGCAAATAAAAATTTAAAAATTCTGTTTCTTCACTTGCAGTAGCCACATTTCAAGTGGCCAGTGGTTATTGTATTGGAAACCTCAGAATTTTAAAACATTTCCATCATCCAGAAAGTTCTCTTGGACAGTGGTGGTCTGGAAGGTTCAAGCTCTATGCTTTTGGAGAGCTAAGATTCATGTGTTCTATGGTTTCTGGACCCCATGACCCAGGATTCAATGATTCCAGGACTCTAAAATTTAAGAGCTTTATGATTCCAGGTCTTTATAACTGTCTTTCAATGACTGTGCATGCTTGGTTCTGTTCCGTGTAATCTGTTCTTCTTTTTAAAAAAATATTTTTATTTATTTCAGAGTGAGGAAGGGAGAGGGAGAGAGATAGAAACATCAATGAAAGAGAAACATTGATCGGCTGCCTCCTGCACGCCCCCTGCTGGGGATCGAGCACACAATCCAGACTTGTACCCTCACCGGGAATCAAACCTCGATCTTCTGGATCCTAAGTCAATGCTCAACCATTTAGCCACACAAGCAGGGCCATCCAATCTGTTCTACCTCACTCTCTGTTTCTTCCAGGCCGGTCTTTTCACCAGTCCCCAGATAGCCCAAATTCTATTTTGTCTCCACAACTATTCCTCTTGTTGTGTCCTTTAGATAGTAGACCTTCCCTCTTCCCTTTTACTTATTCATAGTTTCACTGTTCCTTCTCTGGGCAGCTCTTCCTTGATTGCCTATTCTGACCCATGCCCTTCACACCCAGACATTCTTTTTCCCAGACTGTTTATTGGCTGTCTTATGCAGAATATTTTCATTCTCCATCCAGATATCGAGCCCTCTGAGAACAGGGCTTAGAATGCTTCTTCCTCCTGGCTCCCTTCTCCATGACAGTACTTAGCATAGGGCAAGGCATACAGGAAGGAGGTTCAGTAAATAAGGTGTGTAGGTTCTAGTATTAGGTACCATTTATAGGATGCTTCTATTTTCCAGGGACTGTGAGAAATACTTTAGGTGCATCAGCTCATTTAATCCTCACAGCAACACAACGAAGAAGATACTAATATTCCCATTTTACAGGTGATGACACTGAGGCTCAGAGGGGTGGAGTGACTTGCTTAAGGTTACATGCTAATCGTTGATGGACCAGGGACTCAATTTCACATTTTGGAGGTGTTAAATCCAGTGATGTTAAGCACAATATTATACCTTCAACCCTTTATGAATTCCAGAAACCACAGGAAGGACACTTGTGGCCCACCTTTTTCTATATCTTAAACTGACAGAAGAAAGCTTGAATGTTCCTAAGTGAATCAGTCTTTCCTGCCATAGAATGAACTCAGAGGATAGGTCACACATCTGGGATAGGGAGCTGAACACCATAATATTGTTTTTATTGAAACAGCTAAGACATAGAGGATGGCTTTTCCTGAGATGCTCTTGTTAGCCAGGGATAGATTATGTTTTTAGAAGTATGTTGTTTAATCTTTTATTATTTTGAGATTTCCTCTATCTTTCTGTTATTTATTTCTAGTTTAATTTCATTTGGCTTGTGAACATACTTTATATGATTTATATTCTTTTAAATTTGTTAAGGTGTGTTTTATGGCCCATGATATAGCCTATTTAGGCAAATGTTCCATGTGAGCTTGAGATGAATGTGTATTGTGCTGTTGTTGGATGAAGTATTGTGTAGATGTCAATTAAATCCAATTGATTGATGGTGTTGTTCAGTTCAACTATGTCCTTACTGATTTTCTGCCTGCTGGATCTATCCATTTCTGATAGAAGACAGTTGAAGTCTCTAACTATAATAGTGGGTTCATCCATTTCTCTTTGTAATTTCATCAGTTTTTGCCTCGTGTATTTTGACACTTTATTGTTAGGTACATACACATTAACGATTGCTATGTTTTCTTGGAGAATTGATCCTTTTTATTATATAATGTACCTCTTAATCCCTGATGATATGTTTGCTCTGAAGTCTATTTTGTTTGAAATTAATACAGCTGCTCCAGCTTTGATTAGTGTTAGCATGGAACATCTTTTTTCCATCATATCTATTACTTTTAATCTATCTGTGTCTTTATATTTAAAAATGGGTTTCTTATAGGCAACATATAGTTAAATCTTGTTTTTTATTTGTTTGTTTTTGTTTTGTTTTTAAATCAATGTTGACAATCTTTGTCTTTTAATTGGTGTATTTAGACTATTCATGGTTAAAGTGATTACTAATATAGTTAGATTAATAATTGCCATATTTTAAACTGTTTTCTATTTGCTGCCCTATTATTATTATCCACTCTTTTGCTACTTTCTCTGATTTCAATTGTTTTATATGATCCCATTTACTCTTATCTTTTAGCATGTCCATTATGTTTTAATTTTTTTCCTTAGTAGTTAACCTAGAGTCTGCAATATGCCTTTACAACTAATGCAAATCCACTTTCAAATAACACTATAGAGCTTCATGTGTAGTATAAGTACAGGCAGTCCCTGACTTAAGATGGTTCAACTTATGATTTTTCAACTTTATGATGGTGTAAAAGGGATACTCATTCAGTAGAAACTGTACTTTGAATTTTGATTTTTTTCTTGGACTAGCAATATGAAGACCAATACTTTCTTGTGATGCTAGGCAGTGGCAGTGAGCCACAGTTCCTAGTCAGCCACACAATCATGAGGGTAAGCAACAGATACTCCACAGTGTACTGTATTACCAATATTTTTGGATGTTGTGTGTTGTGTTTTCACATCCCATCATGTCACAAAACGTCAATCTATGTCACCTGTTTCTGGTGAGAAAAAAAAGAAAAAGGCAATTACTCTTGAGATGAAATTCAAGATAATTGCCCAACTATAGGCTCATGTAAGTACTTTCAGTACATTTAAGGTAGACTATGATGTTTGGTAGGTTAGGTATATTAAATGCATTTTCGACTTATGATATTTTCAACTTATGATGGGTTTATTGGATACATAGCCCCATTATAAGTTGAGGAGCATCTGCACCTTCCAACAGGAGTCCCAATTCTTCCCTGCTGTCCCTTATAACATTGCTGTTATTAATTTCACTTATTATTAAGCTATATTCCCTGAATACATTATTGTTATTATTATTTTGAACAAACTATTTTTTGTTAGATAAATTAATTAAAATGTAAAATATTTTATCTTATTTATTCATCTATTCCTTCTCTAATACTCTTCCTTTCTTTATGTAGATCCAAGTGTCTGAATTATACTATTTTTCTTCTCTCTGAAGAACTTCTTTGAATATTTACCTGTTTGAGGCAGGTCTACTAGTAACAATTCCTTCAATTTTTGTTTGGCTGATAAAGTCTTTATTTCCTTCACATTGGAAGGACAATGATGCTGTACACAAAATTCTAGGCTAGTGGGTTTTTTCTTTTAACACTTTACACATTTCACTCCACATTCTTTTTGCTTGCATGGTTTCTCAAGAGAAGTCTGATGTAATTCTCATCCTTGTTCCTCCATAAGTAAGGTGTTATTTCCTATTAGCTTTTTTTTTTTTTTTTTTTAAATATCTTTATTGATTTCAGAGTGAGGAAAGGAGGGGAAGAGAGAGATAGAAACATCAATGATGAGGAAGTCATTGATTGGCTGCCCAGCCCGCAACCTGGGCATGTGCCCTGACCGGGAATCGAACCCCGATCGCCTAGATCCTAGGTCAATGCTCAACCACTGAGCCATGCCCGGCCGGGCTCCTATTAGCTTTTTAAAAAAGATTTTCTTTTTCTTTTTTTTTGGCTGCAAAAACCATTTGTTTATTAGAATTTACATGAGCACTGCACTAAGTCTCCACAATACAGGCTTTCTTAGAACAGAGTTAAGATTTCCTTTTTTGTCTTTGATTTTCTGCAGTTTGAGTAGGATGCGCCTATCTGTGGATTATTTGGATTTCTCGTGCTTAGGGTTCTCTTACTTTCTTGGACCTATGGTTTGGTGGTTGGCATTTATTTTGGAAAATTTACATCTATTATTCCTTCAACCACTCTTCTGTTACTTTCTTTTTTTCTCCTTCTGTTATTTCCATTCCACATATGTTACACTTCTGTAATTGTGCACAATTATTGGATATTCTGAAGGATTTTCCCCCATTTTATTTCTCTTTGCTTTTCAGGTTGGGAAGCTCCTACTGATATATCTTCAAGCTCATTGATTCCATGTTTGGGCTCCTAATGAGCCCATCAAAGGCATTCTGTATTCCTGTTGGAGTAGTCTATATTTCTTGCATTTTCTTTTTACTTTCTTAGAGTATCTATCTTTGTTTACATTGCCCATTTGTTCTTGTACATTGTCCACTTTCTGCATTAGAGCCCTTGGCATATTAGTGAATTACTTAAAATTTTTGCTCTGATCATTTCAACACGTCTAGTTCTAATGTTGATTTATCTCTTCAGATTGTGTTTTTTCCTTTTAGCATGTCTTGTAAGTTTTTGCTGAAAGTCAGATATGATGTATCAGGTAAAAGGTACTGACATAGGACTATAATGTGAGGTCTTATGTTTATTTGGCGAGAAGTTAAATTGTGTTTGCTGGTTGTTACAATTGCAGGTGTCAGAACCTAAAATTTCTTATGGAGTCCTTGTTTTTATGTCCTCTGTTTGTCTTGTGTATCCCTAGAGATTCTTTCATAAATAGTGTCTAGCCTTCCAGTTCTTTCAGCTGAAACCACTATTGTTATACACAAGACTTGTAGATGGCGGTGGTAACGGGTTGGGGAAGGGAAGCATCGCAGT